GCAGGCATCCTGTAGTTTAACTTGCTGAATCTGGCAACCCTAATCACACCACCACACATCGCTAATGTCCAGTTTTTTCTTGTTGAGATCGTGGGAGAGGGTCGGAGAGAAAGTGATCACTCAGCTCCATGACCATCGGGTCACCCCCTGGTCCTCTCCATGTACCATGTCAGATACACACGGCATAAAAGGCTCCGTAACAGGGGCTCCCGACCACACAGTGTGGGCCAAAGTCAAGTTTGGGAGGAAGGAGCGCAGTCCGATGTTGGGTCAAGGAGGGTGGTGTGGTCACAGGCCATCGGGATGAATGTCACCTGGCTGTCACTCAGGGGGACTTTGTCTCTGCAAAGCTTGCATGCATAGATGTCTGAGCCATAGGCCTTGTTCTTAGGGGGGCGGGGGCCTTACAACTCAGGGCAGGAACATTTAAAAATGGGGTCAGTGAGCATCCGATGAGCATCTGGAGGGTCCTGAGCAGGAAGCCTGGGGGAGAGGAAAGGGGAGCCTGGGGTGAGCTGGGCTCTGCAATGACAGGTGAGAGCAGGGAGGGAGAAGGGCTGAGCCAAGTCAGGCATGAAGACCACATGGTGGGGATCGGCGGTGAGGATAGCAGCTGACCTGTACGAGCCCTTATCACGGGCCAGACTCCCTTCTGAGACTGTGCACACCCAAGCCCCTCTCATGGGCACCATGAAGGACGCCCATGACTATCCTCATCCTATCAAGACACAGCCCAGGTTGAGGGAAATTCATTGCTCAAGGCTACCCAGCTTAGAAGTGGAAGTAATACCAGAACGGCAGGCGTGGCTCAGGCAGGAGAGCCCTGAATATCCAGGCCTGAGATGTATACCCAGGCACAGACAAGGCTTGGGAGTCAACCATGTGCAAGGCACTGGGGACCCAGAGACGGAAAGCCACTGCCTCCGACCGTCAGCAGGACGGTGGCCGCAGCTCCGAGGAGGAGCTTTGACCCAGAAGTTCCGCCTGAAAAACCCTCCTGATAATGAAAGGCTCTCTAGCTATGAAGACGGAGGGAGCGTTTGGCTATAAAGATTTCATTACGATGTAACTTATGATTGCAGACTTTGGAAACTAGGAGAATGGCCAACCATAAGTAATTAAATAGATGAGAGTTCAGCCATACCTTTAAGTCATGTTGTAGAATCTAGAAAAATATCGATTGATATGGAAATAGGCCCATGACCTGTGATTGAGTAAAAAATGAAGATTACAAGATAGTGTATACTATATGGTCATGTGTGTGGGGTTTTTAAATATATTTTTATTGATTTGGGAGAGGAAGAGAGAGATGGAAACATCAATGATGAGAGAGAATCATTGATCGGCTGCCTCCTGCACAACCCCCACTGGGGATCGAGCCCACAAACCGGGCATGTGCCCTTGACTGGAATCAACCTGGGACCCTTCAGTCTGCAGGCCAACACTCTATCCATTGAGCCAAACCAGCCAGGGCTGTGTGTTTTAACCCGAAAGTGTTAGGAGTGGCTCTCTTAATCTTAGGTAATGCTGCTACAGACCATTTTTCTTCTTTTCTTCAGTCCTGTAAATGTTGAGTACCTACTCGATGACAACCGCTGTGCTGGGTGTTACATACACAGAGGTGAGTAAAAGCGCATTCACTCCCTGCCCCCTGGACGAATGCGTGGACGATGAAATAATGATCGCATGTTAACCTGAGGGCGTGCAGTGAAAGAGTGAAGAGAGCTCCGTGGCGCGGGGAGGACCAGGTGAGGACACATGTGGATCTGATGGTCGGGGAAGACCTCTGACATTTGCCAAGACCTGAGGCTGAAAAGGAAGCCACCTCAGGAAGGGCTGGAGGCTGGGGCAGGGGGGAGTGGGGGGGCGCCCAGCTGAGGGAGCTGCATGTGCAAAGGCCCTGAGCAGTAGGGCATTTGGGGGAGCCAAGAGGTCCGTGTGGACGGAGCCCAGGGATTTGTGTTTTCAGAACTGGGCACTGTCGATGGTGCAGGACACCCCGCTGTTCAGGGGACTGTTGTTCTGTGGCAGATCCTTTGTAAAGCAACCCCCTCCTCTTCCTCTCTTTCTCTCTCTCTCTCTCTCTCTCTCTCTCTCTCTCTCTCTCTCTCTCTCCCTTCTCCCTAAACTACCAGACCTAAGGTTCAGTGCAAATTCTACCTGTTTAACAGGTTTAGAGACTACCAAGCAGGCAGCTACTACCTGGGATAATTCCGGTAACAGCCAACATTTACCAAAATGCCTTTTGTGTGTGTGGCAGTGGTGTGTGTGTGTGTGTGTGTGTGGCAGTGGTGTGTGTGTGTGTGAGTGCGTGTGGCAGTGGTGTGTGTGTGTGTGGCAGTGGTGTGTGTGTATGTGTGTGTGTGTGGCAGTGGTGTGTGTGAGTGTGTGTCGCAGTGGTGTGTGTGTGTGTGTGTGTGTGTGTGTGTGCACGCACTACCACTTCCTGGGACAAGTCACAGAACACAGTGGAGGCTCCCTCTCATATCAAACTTTTAGAAAATCTGGATTAAAACGAAATGACGATAGTGAAGGAAGATGTAAATACTCTGCTGAACCACCTATGTAATTTGGAGAGGTTCTGCACAACCAAATTACTTACTAAAGGTAAGAAAACAAAACAAAACAAACAAAAACCCATCCACCAAAACAACAACAAGGAAAGAAAGCCAATCTGGCCGAATGATTCAAATAGACCAGAACATTTTCTTTGGGGTCATTGCCAATGTCCTTCATTTTGACCCATGATTATGGTCCCAACAGGTTCTGGGTGAGGAGGGAATAGACCAGGATCCTTTGTCCCAAACCTTCCATCTGGAGCCCCACTACACCAACCGTGACCTCAGGTGAGAGTCCACATAGAGCTTCCAAGTATTTCCTTCAAGTCTGTGAAAGGTCACCTGAAAGGTCACAGACTCAGAGAAAAATTAAGATGCTTGTGGCCAAAGCTCAGCTCTAGTTGAAAGTCTCTGTTTCCCAGCCCAACAGCCTGCCAGCCCTTTGCCCTCCGCCTCCTTGGTTCTGTACCAGGGGCCGGGGAGGCAGGGGCCAGCGCCCAGGTGTAGGAGCAGGAGGGGGAGGGGAAAATCCACAGGACAGGCTGGTAACAATGCAGGGGATGAGAGTGGCACAGGGGGTGAGGGTGGTGCAGGGGGTGAGGTGGCCAGGGGGTGAGGTGGTGCAGACGGTGAGGTGGCCAGGGGGTGAGGTGCACTGGAAGCGTCCTGAGACCCTGTGGAGATGAGGCCACCTCACCCCCTTCCCGTCCTAGCAGCCCGGAAGGGGGCCATTAGCACCAGGCCTACTGTATGAGGAAACTGGCCCCTGAGACAGCCTGAGGTGGACTCGGATCCATCTGCGCTTCGCCCGATTGCCCGTTAACAATCAGAAAAGCAGGCCCGAGCTCTCGGAGATGCCTAGATGAGGACTGGGAAGGTGCAGCTCATTGCAGCTGGGCTTGAGAATGGGGACGACCCACGAGGACTAGGGCGGGCAACTCCGACGTGCCCAGGTGCCACCAGAGAGGCCGGAGCGCACAGGTGCCACCAGAGAGGCCGGAGCGCACAGGTCCTGTTCCTGGGTCTGGGGCGGGCGGCTGAGTCTCCCCAGCTCCCAGGTGAGACCAGGGGACTGGAGGGGGTGGGTTTCTGGAAGAGCTGGGTGTTAAATGATTTGGGGACAGGGAAGGGGGGCCGACAGCACCTGCCATGGTTTAGCTCAGCGGCCGCCAGCCTTTCGGACCTCATGGACCACAGTGGTCCACGGGCCACCGGTTGGCGACCGCCGGTTTAGCTTTTTGAGTCCCAGATCCCTTTAAGAATCAAATCAAAGCAGGCCCTCCCCTTGGGAAGGCACAGGTGATTCCACAATGTCAGAGCCCACTTCCCAGAGAACCTGACCGTGAACATGAGCGCAGGAGAGCGACAGGCCCTCTCAGAAGAGGGACAAACAGGCATGATGCTTACAGAGGCAGTGGCACGGGGACTCGAGCCCAGGTTTGTCTGATCCCCAACCTCATTATCCTCATTGGATGAATCACAAGGCCCGACGAGTAAAAGCCATGACTCCCCACCCCCAGCTCGCACAGTAGGTTGCCTGTTTCCTGGGATTGGAAAGAGCCTTCCAGTTCCCGAAGTGGGTTCGGGTACCCCTGCTGTGAGCCCCTGTTCCAGCCAGGAGGGGAGGGGTGCAAGCTGCGTCCTCGGGCCGAGGCATACCCTCACCTCCTCGCCCAGCAGCCAGCCAGATGCCCACACACCACCCCAGAGGGTGTGCGGTCATCAGCCCTTCCCCACAGCCAGGACCAGCACAGCCTCGGGCTTGTTCAGGGCAGGGACCAGAAGCCAACCTCATTGGCTTCAGACCCCACCCCGCTGTCGTCACACACCCTTTATTTCTAAAGACAGTTCATCCTCGGACTCTAAATTAAATAGACTTGCTCCCCCAGGTCTGGAACACAGCCCGGCACCCCAAGTTCATCTTTGTTGAGCTGCCTGCCCACCAACCTCCATGGCCCCGTGGATCAAAGTGTCCACTGAGCGGTACAGAAAGCCCTGTTCCCCCCCACTTCCTGAACCCCCTGCCACCTCACTGAGCTCAGGTTCAGGGGCCCCACAGAACATTCCAGACCTACACACGGTTTTTCTGAGGCTCCTCACCTCCGAGACATGGACAGAAACCCGTCAGCCCCGCTTCACGTGCACTCACCTGGCCTGACTGGAGACACCTGCCGGGAGGAAGGGGCAGACCAGATGGTGGGAGGAAGGCATCCGAGGAAACGCTGCCCATGGTCTGGCCCACAAGCACCCTCAGGTGGCTCCAGGTGAAGGAATCCCTTTTCAGATCCCAGGGCCGGCCCAGCGCGGCTAGACGTCCAGGTGGGAAATGAAGCCGGCGTTCACACACACACACACACACACACACACACACACACACACACACACACACACGGGCAGCCTCTGCCCTGCCCCCACCCCAGGAATTCCAAGACGAGGCCAGCGTTTTGAAAAATATAAAATTTTAATAAAGGCTACATCTCTTAATTACAATAATTATTGTACCAAGTAATTTTCCTTAAATGAACTCTTTATAATGCATAATTTACAGTATAAGTAGAACAAAATGCCATGGCAAAAGTCATTGAGTACAAGACTTGTAATAAAAAGGCATAAAATATATTTATACATAAACCCCTTTCAAAAAACAAGGGAAAGCTCGAGCCCTCAATATAGGGCGACACACGGATGGGGAACCGTGCAGGTACAGGTACTGTACTGATTCAGTCAAGCACTAGAGATAGTGATTAATACTCCTTCGCCGGACGATATATACAGACGTAGAGTACAGGCAACGGGGGCAAACAGAATGTACAGATTAACTTAATACAAAAACCCGGAGGACAAACGAAGGTGTCGAGGACAAGGTGCTGCCAGGTCTTCCCACAGCTCTTCGCTTCTTTGCAGGGCAGGGGTAGTTTCCAGAACGGCTGTGGCCCAGAGTTTAAAAAAGAAAAAAAAGAAAAAAGGGGGCTAGAAGGATTTATTCCAATAAGCGCACGGTGAACCTCGAGGTTCTTGCGGGCCTCAGGCACGGAGCGCTGGGCCTTGGTGGGGAGCTGGAGGACGTTACGGGATGACTTGGGGTCCCCAGGAGAATCCCCCCAACTCAGCAATGAACATCCAACAAGGTGACCCCCAAGTGGCGGTGATGTTGCAACGTAAGTCAAACCTCAAGACCTTTTTGACAAAATACAGCAGCACAGAAAAAAAAAAAATGCACCGATTTCTGCGTGTCAATGGCAGGGCACCACTAGAAACGTCTATCTTCACTTGGAGAAAACGCAGGGCGGAGCGCGATCCCTCTGGTAACGAAGAAACCATCCCTGCACCCCGAGCTCCGCTCCCAAGTTTAGATAGAACCCCGAAAACTTCCTGCCTCCCCTTCCGTGGCGTAAGCAGCATATCCATAAACTGGGGGCAGGGGTAATCACTTGTTCAATAAATATCAGGAAGGGCTCCTGTTCAGGGAAGCTATACACAGTTTCTCTTAGTTTATGGGTTCAGGTCCCTAGGAAGTCATATATTACGGATGGCCGTCTCTCAGATACAGTCAGCATCTTCAATAGCCAGGAGTGGTCATGGTTTTAATAAATAGTTCAGGCTCTTCTTATCTCAGTACCCAGCCCATGAATAATGAAAAACCACCCTCCCCCCACCCTCCGAAGGCCCAGTGGCCAGCTCTTCCCTAGACTTTGTCTTCATTTTTATTTTTTTTTTAAATTCCTTCTTTGTGTTGCATGGCGGTGGCTCACGTCCCAGACGGCTTGCGGGGCTCCCGCGGCCGGCCACGGCCAGACCCGCAGACTCAGTCGATCCGTTCCACTTTGCCCAGGATCCGGCCTTCGTACATGGGGAGCACCGTCTCGTCGTCCCAGACCTCCTCAAACACCGCGCCGCAGGCAAACTCGTCGCTGGCTTTTTTGAAGTAATACCTTAAAAGGAAAACCCCAAAAAGCATCTTGGTAAAATTGCATTTTCTGCTTTGAAAGAAACGCAGGGCAACGCTAAGGGAAGGCGAGGATGCGGCTGCAGCCGGGGTGAAGTCAGCCTTGGCCCTTATCTGACCGAGAGGACCCGTGGCTCCCAGAGCCACGGGCACAAACAGGCAGGCCATGTCACTCGGGAGCAAAGCTGGGCACCGCGCCTGGGCAGGTCTGCCCTGCAAACAGCTCCGAGGCTGCGGCCCTCAACCCAGGACTGCTGCTGTCACCACCACTCATGCTGTGGAAAGTGCACCTTGCACACAGCTGTTTCTTTCTCCTCTTTTTTATTGGGGGGGGGGGGGGGGATGGGGGGGACAGGAAGGGCAGGGCAGGCCTAGAGTTCATTTGCCACTGCAGCCAAGAAAGGGGTCTCTTAGGGACCCCAGACCAGCCACCCCGACCTGGCCGACTTCCTCTTGATCTTTCCCCCTCCAGCACCCAGGTGCCAACTCCACCGGCTGGTCTCTGGTGCAGCCATGGACAGCCACCCCTCTCCCCTCCCCCGCCCTCCAGGGTCAAACACGAAGGGCCCTTCTATTATGCCCATTGATTAAAGGTTTCTTTCATCCCGCCCCAGCCTTTTTCTTCTAAGGCTGTTTAATTGTATGGACTCAAATGAGCAGTCTCTCCGGGCGGCCTCTCGCGGAGTCCCCCTCGGAAACGG